AAAAAAAAAAACACCAATCCAGTGTTTGTAGACTGAACATGTAGCAGGAGCTAGCAGCTGGTTAGCTTAGCTTAGCACAAAGACTGGAAACATGAGGAAGAGCCACTGACCTCCAATAGTCCTCCTGCATCAGCACTTGAAAAGCTTCACAAGACTCCAGGAGGTTGTTCTAAAATCATGCAGAACATTTACTGTCCTGTGCAATAAACAAATGATGCATCCGGATGATCTGGTGAGTTAACAGCATCTTTATGAATGCTGTTGGTTTCACAAAACTTTCGGATTCACATTTGTTTTACTTGTTTCTAACATTGTTTTTAGTGTTTTTAGTCTATTTTTTTATTGCTACCCTGTTGTGTTTGCAGATCTTTGCAGTGGCCACCTCTGATCTTCAGAACAGTTCATCTTTCCATGTGAGAACAGCTCAGGCTCCAGAAGATTTACGTTGCTTATTAAGACCCGTCTGTTTTAATTTGCTCCCGACTGAAGTAGATCTTGACAGCCTGACCTTTCCTTATTATCATCTTATTGCTTCTATTCAGATTTGTCTTTTCTATTGCATCCTATGCCTCTATCTGGACTGTACACTTTGGCTCAACTCCAGTTATTTTTATTGTGCTTTATAAATAAATGAGACTCTTTTAATGCTTGTTAAAGAAACATCTACATATTTAGACATATGAAACACACACAAACCACATTTTACTATCTTGTTTCTTCTTTTTTGACCTTCTATTTTCTTATCTTCTTCTTTAATTTCATTTTCCTGCTAGATTTCTTTTTAATTTTCTCACCTCACAAAAAAAAATCGGAATATTTAAACAATATGGTTACTCGAATGATCATGCCAATAAAACATACTGAATTGTAATTTCAACAAAAGTAGCCCTATGCTAGCTGCTGTTCTCAGTCTATTTAAGTGTTCTGTAAGTGCTGCTCTCAAATAAAGCACAGACAAATAAATCAGCCTTTAGATATAACAGAGGTATCCTCTAGCACAAAGGCAAATCTCCCAAAGTTTCTCTTTGAGGCAACACAATGAACCGTAAACCTTAAATGTGTGTATTATTACATTTTAAGTTAATATTCTAAAGAAAAAAAAGTTGCACGTGTTCACATCCTGCAGTCATCGAGCATTATTATTCATTTTTTGTGATCACCTGATGAATCTAACTCCACTTTATTCTCCTTTTGGTTCTATTTTTGGTTTTCACACACTCCTGAGGGAAATATGTGTCTCTTCGGCTGCTCGGTGCTCCACTGTGTCCGCCAGCTCGTCTCTAGCTGAGCCTATCTGCTGTTTGGTGCTGAGCAGGTTGTGTGCAGCAGTTTATTTTTTAGAGCTTCTTCATTTAAAACAGCTGCAACTATCGAAAACGCCGCTTTAGGAGCAAGACAACTAAACAATGAGCTCTGTGTGACGCTCAGTAAAGCAGATGCAGATGGAAACTGTCTCCAGGTTGATGAGTGCAGGTTTACTTTTTTTTTTCTGTGATATCTGTGGAGCTCTCGTCTGCAATTACTCATCAGCTGATAGCGCTGCAGATATGTGAAAGCTAATATCATCTGCTGATTTCTTAGTTTCCTCCAGTGGGTCCAGAAGAATGTCTGGATTGGTTGGAAGTCAGTCTGGATTTTTGCACAGGTGTACTTTGCCATCACAAGTTTCTCTTCATAATTAAATCTCATAGCGAGCTTGGAGGAAAAAAAAAAAAAGCCAACGTGATTTACTTGCCAATTCCCTAAAGCCATTCAGTCTAATTAACTTATTCTGTGTGTGTGTTGCATTCGGGTGTGTGAAACTGATTTTTAACTGCTGCTCCAGCCCTGCACACCCCTGGGTTTCTAACAGATGCCACTTTAATTTTTAAGTTTAAAAAAAAAAAAATCTCTTCCAAACGCAGTCTCGGTAGACGTTAGACGGCGGCTCGGGCCTGTTCTTCTTCTTTTTTTCTTTCTCAGCTCTTTTGCACATCTGTAGATAAAATAAAGATGATAAAGACGAGAGGAGTCTGTGTGTGAAGGTGACCCCGCTCTCCCCCAGTCTTTGCTGAGCAATGAAAACAACTTAGTGTGCATTTCCTCCCTAACAGCAAACGCACAAAGCAGAGAGTCAATGAGGGAGGCGGTGAACTAAATCCATATAAGCTCTATTGAAATTCCCCCCTCTGAGTGCGCAGACTGCCTCGTGTTATTGTATTTTTGCCTTCTGGTGTTGGCAGTCTGCTTTAGGATGCTCATTACTTTCTGTCTATAATGATGATATAAAGTAATATCTTTATCTTTCCCCTTGGCCCCCCCCACCCAGCGTGCACAAACACAGCCTCAAATATGTTTACAGTGTGAGGAGGCCTTGGAGGATGCTGTAGGTGTGCACATTCACACGTACTTCCATTTAAACGCTATTTGATTTTTCCATCATCAAACTGACACTCGAGCCAAAACCAGCTAATTGCAATGAGGCTCTCCTCCTGAAGCCGAAGCTGTTGGAGAGTCCGGACGCCCGAGAGCTGCTGCTGCTGTACTTCCAGTCAAATCTTAAAAGTAGCAATGAGCCGCTGAAAGTGACTCCAAATTTAGACGCTGCAGCTCAGAAGCTTCGACAGCTGATGGCTTTTCTCTTTGTTCTTCCGTCGCACTTCTGCTCACAAAGAAACGTCCAAAATAGTGAAATACTCTGATCCAGATATAGATCGATGAGCACAGTACAAAAAAAATCCACTGTATGATTTATCCTGCTCATGAAAAATAAGAAATACTGCTTATGTAACAAACAAACAAAAAAAAAACTACAGTGTGCCAGATTTGTATTCTCTTTGAAGCCATTATGAGCTCATTTCATGATTTAATAACTCTAAATTTGGAGTGAAAACGTGCCGATTCGGACTTCCTTCAGGCCTCTGCAGTTCTGACGTCCACCAGCAGAGGAACAAATAGAGATTCATTTCCCCTCTGGGTGTCTAATCTGCTAATCCAGCCAGTTCTCTGGATTATGCCAGCACTCTTTCTCCGCTGTGGTGTTTAGACTTTAAAATGAATCTAGTCTACATCATCATCTGCTTAGAATTAGTGTCAAAAGCTTTTGCTGTTACCCCAACATACAGCGTGACCTAAATGCCAAGACACTGAAGTAAGTAAAGTGACAGTCAAAGTGAATCCGCTGCTCTTCATGGATTATTTACTGGTTTGCAGAGACTCGGGGGGCGGCTTGTGTACAGTAGCGTTGTTTTGTTGGGGAGGATGCTCACATTACAAAAGCGCAGGCAATGCCCTTAAAACATTCACACACACACAAACTGGGAGGCTGAGAGTGGCAGTAAGAGGGACTGTCATCCTCAGTGGATTTGGAGGAGCAGCTCTTGACTTATGTGCTAAATATTGAATGAAACTTTACTTCGCCCGCTTCGCAAAAGCCACGCAGCCCATGAAAAAGTAATGGCAACAAAAGGATTTGTCATTTTCCGCCGGACCTGGATTTATGTCATCGCAGCGAATTATGTAACGACATGAAGAGGGTGAATTTCACCTCATAACACCGTCCAGAAATGGGTCCGGGCTCGATGTTTTTACTGCCTACATGTTCAGAGAGTAAACCTGCGACATGCTGAAGTGTGAGGGTGGGTTTAGACCTACTGGATGTGACATAGTGAAAGGATCCAGGGGAATAGAGGCACCTGAGACGGGATTTTGGGGCTTAAAGGTGCTGTGGGTCTTTATGCTTTCCTCGCCTACTTCCCAGTATTTTTATCCCAGTGAACTGCACATTTTAGTGTCAAAGCATATTAAATAGATAGGCAGCTTTCTTCAGAGGCCTTTAATAACTAAATGAAACCAACATCTGACGCTATGCTGTGTTTAACAAACCATAGAATATTTTATTTACTTACTCAACCATGATCTTTGCCCTTAACCATGGCTACCATGTGCAGATATTCTAGAAAGTATGATTTGTTTTTTAAACCAAATGCTGCCATTTGATATAAATATGGCAGAAGGGCTGATTCTTGTGCAAGTACTAACTTTACTAAAAATGCTCTATATACGCACAATAAAAGCTGAAATAAACAGGTTGGATCCTCAAGACAATAATGTCGCCTTAAGGCTTATATCAAACGATTCAGGAGATTGTATTTGCCACATGCTCCTGCAGTGAAACACAAAGTGATCCACAACACTGTGCAATAACTAAGACATGATTTGAAAGAAAAAAAAAATGTTAAAAAATAGAAAAAGTCATAAATAATGAGGAGGTAGAGACTGTGAAGCTAAAGTGCAGTGTGGATTGCGCAAGACCTGCAGATGTGTGTGTTGTTTTGTTGTGCACGAGCTTGTGTGTGTGTGTGTGTGTGTGTGTGTGTGTGTGTGTGTCTGCATACATGTTATGTATCATATAATGCACCTAAGTGTCCATGTAGTGTTAACAAGCAAACTTGTAATTAATTTAAGGGACTGAGGACACCCTGGTGAACCTGCAGGTCCCTGAAGGCCCCACGGCAGCTGTCCATGTTTTTGGCTAAACTCTTTTTTAATTTTTTTTTTTTTTTTAAATTAAAGGAACACATAAATGTTCCTTGTGAGGGTTTTGTAAGCTACCACTTTAATAAACAGGGGGGGAAAAAGTGTGTCTAAAATATGTTTTGCTTCCGACAACACGCGTGCATGTGGGCTGAAGTTTCCGTCTCACGCCGTGTGAGCCGCGCTCCGTCCTGCGTGTCATCTCCTGTGTGTGATCACAGCGAGCCTGAGGAAGCGCCCCTGGCACTGTAGTAGGAGCGAAGCGCCTCCCGTGTTATTTCCCCTCCTCTCCATCCCTTTACGCCGAACCAGAACCATTCATCTCTCCCCTCCTTCAGGCTTCACATCCGGGTCATCCGCCAGGATCTGTCTCTTGCGTCTGTGTGTCTGACAGAGTAATAATTATTTCATCCGCCGCCGCCGCCGCGCTGTACTGCAGCTCTCTGCCCGACTGCGCGGCTCTCCGAGCGGACACTGCGCCTAGCGTGCACCGGTGATGATGGAGCCCCGAGCGGCGTGAAGCTGCAGCCGGTCGCACAACGGCGGGGATGAGACGGTAGGAGGCTTTTGTATGGGCTAGCCCGCGGTGATCAACTCGCCCTAACGATGTCGAAGAGCCTCAAGAAGAAAAACCACTGGACCAACAAAGTCCACGAAGCGGTGATAACCCGGGGGAAGGAAGGGGAGCTGGGGTTCGAGCTGAAGGGGGGCGCGGAGAACGGCCAGTTCCCCTACTTCGGCGAGGTGAAGCAGGGGAAGGGACTGATCCAGAGCGGCAAACTGGCCCAGGATGAGCTGCTGCTGGAGGTCAACGACATGCCAGTGGCCGGGCTCACCACCCGGGACGTGCTGGCCGTGATTAAGCACTGCAAAGACCCGGTCCGCTTCAAATGTGTCAAGCAAGGTGAGAGGGGCTGGTGGTGGTGGGAGAGGGGCCAGGAGCGCACCGCCGCCGCCGCCGCCGCCGAGCGGGCTTTGGGAGGCGGGGAGGAGTGTGTGTCCGTGTTTGTGTATGTGCAGCTGTGATTAAGATGTCATTTGTGCAGTCATCTGTCAGTCTGCACGGAAAAGGGGGGAAGCCGGAGGTGGACAAACCTTCGCTACAGGCCCGTGTGTTGGTGAGACGTAATGAGGAGACGTAACGAGAGGTTCGGTCCGGAGTGTGTTGGTGAAACGCAGCCGACGTTTGTTTATCAGAGTCGCTGGTTCGATGCCACAGCCTGGAGGGGGTGTGTCCGATCAGGCGTCATGCCACAGCCTGCGGTTTTCTCCTCATATTTGGTCGAGGACAGGACTCGTTTCACCAAAAAAAACAAAAACGGGCCTTTGCTGTGGATCAAATGTGTTTTTTGTGCTGCTGTAGTCAGACAGACACGCTTCACACAAAAACACAGCGAGTCTGCTGCTGTCAGTCCACACCGCTGCTCTCACTGTAGCCTCCTGCAACTGCGCACTGGTGGAAAATTAAACCCATGCAGCTTAATTACAGTTGAGTCCACATTGATCACCTCTGTAATCAGCTCACAACAACAACAACAAAATAAAATCATGCACTCAAACATTTTAGCTTCTGATATTGTGCAGGTCTCTCTGAGTGAGTAGCTTTTTATTTTTTTTCTCCTTCTTGTCATTCCTGAATCATTGTGGCCTGTGATGCTGCAGGCTTGTTGTAAGGTTTTCTGAGCACAGCAGTGGATTTGTGGCAACACAGTTGACTGAGTGACCTGCTTCTGTCAGCCAGTGTAAAAGCAGACAGGGTCTCCACACAGCTAGAACATTGGATGGAAGCAACAGCGGAGGAGATGGTTATCAGCTCCGAGGCTCACTTTAAGTCCCAATAAGTGGCTGAAAAGGGGGCCTGCGTCCTCAGCCGTGAAATAAGCTGGAGTGTTTTCTGGGACATGAGTAAAGCAAGAAATCAAACCGGTGTTTTAATTTTTTTTATTTTTGGACATTGCTCACAGGAGGATTCTTCGCCTTCGCCTGCTTGTTTCTCGCTCTCTGTGTTTCCACGGCTTGTGCAATGTGATTGATTGCTGAGTGAGAGCTGCTGACAGAGTAGAAGTCTTGTGATGTGTGAGGGGTTAAATGCTAATGTGGATGTAACAGACAGATCTATTCTCTCCCCTCCCTCCCTTATCCATTTAAACATGAGTGTATTTTGAACTGCCCACCTCGCTGCTCTCCAGATGAACACAGTCTTTGCTGAGAACGTCCTTGGGCACTCTGCTGTTTGTGCACAGCTTGTTGTCCCCTTCACTATATATTTTTTGTTCTCTCTCTCTCTCTCTCTCTCGCTGTCATATTACTATTTGACTTTCACCCAGCGGAGAGCGGAGTGTATTTATGGCAGACAGTAGCTGACACACTCTCGGCCCGCTGAGGAATCATCTAGAAGCGGTTCGGCCACACACGACCCCCTCCAAAAAAAATCAGAGATGGATGTCCTGTCTGAGTGCACAATCATGTCTGACCGCCCATGCAAACATGCGCGCACTTGCACATTTTAACGGGCTATTTTCAGTCAGGTGGATTGTAGAAACCCCCCCCCTCCACCTCCACGTCTGACCCTGAGGGGAGCTCAGCGCTGACAGCGAGGCCCGATGGACCTCCAGAGCGAGGTCGCAGCCGTGACTCTGCCCCGACCTCCTCTCAACACGCTGTTACATCTACACTCATCACGGCTTTTGGGAAACGACGGCGTGCACGCGTGTTGTCACTGTGCATCCATCCAGGACCACAAAAAAAAAAAAAGGAATGCACCTTTTATTGGAGCAAAAACCTGTTTATTTGTGGTTCTGCTGCTGCTGCTGCTGCATTCCCAATTCTGGGCAAGTTTATAGACGAAGCCTTGAACGCTGGCAGGATCGTTTTCACAAGTCCTGTGTTGGCAGGTTGTTCTTGCGCATCACAACATGCAGGATGTATCGAGTCACCTTCAAATAGCATCCGTGGAGGTTCATCAGTGCTATATAACCAGCGATTAAATCAATTAATCAATCACACACCAATGGCACACGGTTTTTGTTTTGCATGGGAATTATTTAAATGCCAGAAAAGAAACACAGTTCAAATGTGCATCTGATGTGGGCTGTTATTTATTCCCCTGCTGCGTCTGTGTGTGTCGCTGCTTCAAAGGTCTCACTTTCTGTCTTGTAAATGTATGTGCTGTAAATAAATCTCCACTAATGCCGGCGTAACAACATAAAAAACAACCAACTTCAACAGAAGATCAAAACATCAAGAGTATATCTCAATTTTAACGCTCTACAACCCTCAGTCAGCCTTTGAGATATTTTCTGCAGCACTTAAAGGACTTTTTTTTTTTCTTTCACCGAGGATGCTTTGACGTGTCACAGCGAGAAAAACACAGGTGTAAATAAGAAAGTGGCTGATGGCTGGATTCCATTTAGCTGCTTCGGTTTCAGGGTGCCGGCGTTGCTCATGCTGACTCGCTGTCACCGTCGCAGCACGCCGGGACGTTTGGATTAAAAAGACGTGTGCTGTGAAACAGGCACACAAATTAGCGCGATAAATAATTTCTCTAATACTCTGTTTAACCCGACTGAACTCCAAGTTGTGTCACATCTTCAGCTCATTTTTCACAAAGTCCTGCTCCTCTCCAGGAACGACCACGACGAGGAGGAGAGAGAACTCACAAGTGTTATGATGCCGTAAATCATGAAAAGTTGAAAAAAGGTTGAATTTCCTCATTTATTTACAAAGTAAACCTGGAGTCAACACATGCAGCATGTTTTTCCATGAGTCTAGCCATCGACCAACATGGTCGTTTAGGGCCGATGCTGATTATTGGTAATCAAGAAAACCAGACGACTGATATTTGGAGTCCGTATACATGTA